CTGGAGTGTATCCTGATTCATTGAAACGTGCTCGAGTTATACCCATTTTTATATCTGGTGACCCTTCTAAAGTCTGTAATTATCGTCCAATATCAACCTTGCCTTTTCTTAATAAAATTTTCGAAAAACTTCTCCATTCCAGACTCACTAATTATCTCGATAAATTTTCAATAATATCAGATAATCAGTTTGGTTTTCGTAGAAGTACTAATACGACAATGCCTATATTTTATCTCGTTAAAGATCTCCTTAGGACGGATCATTCCAGAGATTGCCGTGTTACTCTATTTAGCGAATTTTCTCATTTATGGTAAAAACGCACTATTGTGCTCGCCATGTCCGTCTGTCCGCCCGTGACTTCACGTTTGCGTCGACGAGAAAATGCGCTCTCTGTCACACTGCAGTGAGTACTGAGATTTTTAGACCTACAAAAGGCTTTGGAATTTTTATTTTTTTAGACCTAAAAAAGGCTTTGGAATGTGTAAATCACCAAATTCTTTTGAATAAGCTCTACCGGTATGGTATAAGAGGGTCTTTTCTTTTACTTATCCAGTCTTACCTAGCGAACAGAGAGCAGTTTGTTGCATTGAACGATGTCTGCTACAAATCTTGTAATCGAAATTTAACACACTTCTACTTATCCTATCGATCTGAAATTTTGCACACTTGCGTAAAGTTGGAGACAATGCATGAATCAAATGACAAAATAAATAATTTTGGGAATACAATTTTTTTTAATATTAAAAAAAAACGAAAAAATAATTTTGTCAGCTACAAATCTTATAATTGATATTTGACAAACTTTTACCTGTCCAATTGATATGAAATTTTGCACACTTGTGTGAAGTTGGAGGCAATGCATGAATCAATTGGCAGAATAAATAATTTTGAAAAAAAATTTATGTATTAAAAAAAGTGAAAAATTAATTTTTTTAATATTCGAATATAAAATTAGAAATTCATTGTACATATGTAACATTGGAAACACTGGATTCTTTAGAAGTGTTGCCTTTAAAAAGTAATTTTTAAACGTATATTTTTATTACAACACTTCTCTTTAACTTCACTTCTTTTCTGTCTGTCTGCTACAAATCTTATTATCAAAATTTAGCACACTTCTACTTATCCTATCGATCTGAAATTCTGCACACTTGCGTAAAGTTAGAGACAATGCATGAATCAAATGTCAAAATAAATTATTTTATAATAAAAAAAAAATTTTTTAATATTAAAAAAATTGAAGAAAGAATTTTGTCAGCTAAGAATCATATAACTGATTTTTGACACACTTTTACCTGTCCGATTGAGCTGAAATTTTGCACACTCGTGTGAAGTCAGAGGCAATGCGTGCATCAATTAACAGAATAAATAATTTTGAAAAAAAATATATTAAAAAAATATATAATAAAAAATTGAAAAATTAATTTATTTAATATTCGAAAATTAAATGAGAAATTCATTGTACATCTGTAAGATTGGAGACACTGCATGGATTCTTTGGAAGTGCTGTCTTTAAAAAGTAATTTTTAAACGTATATTATTTATTCTGCATTTGCCTCTCTTGTTCCTCAACATTCCCATAACACCAGGGGCATGTGTTTTAACTCACCCCCGGTTCGGTTAGAAATTGAAAGAAACGGTACTGTTTTTAATTGTGTAAAATATTTTAATGAATTGTCTGATGATTTTAAAATAGATTGTTCTAAATTCATTTTAAAGACTAAATTACTCGATTTTATTCTTACTCAGTATTAACTTGACTTCGATTATCATGTAAGATTTTAGTAATTGCCTTTCTTAATAAGATATTTTATAAATATTATGGTGTAAGTCAACATTGTTTTGACTTTTCGTCTTAGTTGTATATATGTCTTTTAGGTAGTGTTGTTATTGCCTTTGTTATACTGTATATATTTTTAGTCGCCAAGCTGCTTATTCTCATATCAGTTTTATCAAAGGGTAGTTTATCAGGATGTTTATACTTTAGGCACTTTCTGTTTCCCATTGACTTATCTCATTATCATTATATGTTTTTGTTCTATTGAGAGTATATAATATCGCCTATGTCGCAGCTGTGAAGCTTTTTAGCTTATACAGGGTCCGCCAAATTTGTGGCAACGCATGTTTTTTGTTATTTCTCAATGAAACAAACAGGTGCATTGTCTTTTTATTGGATGAGCTAGTAGCCAAGAATTACCTAAACAATTCTCAGACATATTTATTCAATATGACCACCCTTATTTTAATGACGGCCTCCAATCTACGCGGGAAAACTTTACAGGAGACACGCAGCATTTCTTGAGGGATCATGTCCCATCCTCGTGTCAATTTAGACTTCAAACTATCCAAAGAATCATGAGGTGTTCTGCAGACCCTACTCTCTCAAATAGCACGCACAGAAAAGTCGAGAGGATTCAAGTCAGGGCTTCTTGAGGGCCATTCATTTTTGCTAATGAACGCTGGGATGTGACCCTGAACCCAGTTTTGGGTTATGTTTGAGCCATGTGATGGGTAGAGTCTTGTTGAAAACTCCATGGTGAGCCGTTGAAGTTTTTACGGGCCCAATTAAGGACGCCCTTTTCATGAAGGGTTACAATTGCATTTCTATCTACTGCCATAAGTAATAGTAAATTTAGACACCTTAGATATCTACAATATAAAATGGATGAATTAATAGATTATATTAAGCTTCATCATAAACGAAAAGTCTCCTAGAAACCAATGTATTTTTATATAGCAAACATCCGTTGCCATAAATATGGCGGACCCTGTTTAGGCATTCACATGGAAGCAATTTGTATTTTGTTCTTCTTCAATTTTTTGATGGTCTTTTGCTATGTATTTCTTTGTGTGCTCCTCTTTGAATAAAGAATATTATATAAGTCTTCATTAGATAAAAATTACACCCGTTACCCTCTTCAGGAGTGAAGTGGTCAGAGGCGCCTCTATGGGCGCGCTCCAGCAGTAGCTGGTCGATGACGTCACGAGGGTTGTTAGGGCCAAGGGTCGCCATGTGATCGTCAATAACTTCCTATAACAAAAGTTAAATCACACGAGCCGATCGTATAGGGAATAAGAGCGAGTATGGTTGATACGTTAACGAATGCTCAGTCGTTCGGGATAGATTCTCGCAGTACAGAAAGAAGAACTCGTAAAATTTTTTATCGAAATATGCTTATATCGTTTCAACTTTTACATATTTGTTCATTTAACCAGTATAACAGTAACATAACATGATCATAAAAGTGTTTATTATATCGAAGACTCAGGAAGTATAGTATAATTAAAATCAATTTGCATTTTTATCATGCCTCTTTATAGGCGAGTCAAGGGAACACTCTTGCCACACATCTCAGTCCTAAATTTTATTAGTAAATATTTTTAAAAATCATCAATCGTCCTTTTAAATTGTTCCAGAGTTTAGTAGTAGCAGTAGGTATTTCATTATGTATATATGTGTTTCAAGTGTACTTATCTAATCTTGGGGTACCTAGATCTGTGACAGATCAGCAAGCAGTACGCATTAGCCAGGGACTGAAAGCATGCTGCATGTTCATTTGCAGCAGACCAGTCAGCAGTCTAGTGAGAAAAACATCTACTCTCTGTCAGTCTCTGAGCCGTGACTGAATTTTTCAAGCCGTTAATTAAGGAATAATCAAACCGTAAGCCTATTTCCCAAGTCTTGGATACAAAGGCATTTCTGAACCGTGAACTCATGGCGGCAGTATCACGTGGGCATATCGCGAATAAGCTCTAATTTTGCCCTAGAAATAGCAGTTGAAACATTATTTCCTAATTCACGTACAATTTAGCCCATGCTAATGCCTACCAGTACTTAACGTTTTTGTAAACATAAAACACGGTTTTACAAGAGTCTGAGACGCGAGTTCAAGATCTCCATCTTCAACATAGCGTTCTTCCTACTGTCACAGTTCAGTATAGAAATAGGATCATGATGGGCATAGTTGAACTAGTATAAGGTTGACCCATCAAACTGCCCATTTTTGCGGTTGTAGTTCGTTGTTCGCCTGTGACGTCACTGGTCTCAGTGCGTCACGGGCATTAACCAATCACCGAAATGCGATCAAACCAGTCGACCAATCCGTCATGAGAATGACGGGTTTGTTTACGTTTCTCGATCTCAGTGACGTAACAAGAAAGCTGAACTGAAAGACGGAACTTCTCGTGGGTCAACCTTATATGGTTCAACGGGATGCATGCCGGAAGCCAGCATAGCCTAAGACCAGCATATCTTTCATCCTCCTTTCCGTGCGTAAGCCTGCTAAAGGGCAGAGTAGACTAAGGGATTACAAGTTAAAAGCCAAAGGTACAAATCCCCTTCATGGAAATTAACCAGCGAGCTAATGAGAAGTAAGCCACCAATACAATCGATGCCAGGATGACAATATCTACAGCATTTAGATGGTTGATGTTGGCTCCAGGGCTGATTTGAGCGTTAATTTGCTGGTCTACGGCTGCGCACCCGGTTCAACCATGATTATGGAAGCGTGGTGCTAAACAACGGACCTAAATATTTTATGGAATGATGAATTTTATGATAAGGAAAAGGGGTCAAGCAGCAAAGATCAGGAAACACTTGTAGAGATAATGTAGCTTGTTATCAAAACAAATGTAGATTAGCTTAACGATAAAAATTATATCACGTGTCGAAATTTCTATTGGTATTTAAGTCTGTTTTAGGTGTATTCTTATGTGTCTGCATATCAACCCATGAAATCGTTAACTTTTAAGTGACTAACTCATGATTTAAGTGACTAACTCATATCTAACTCATGAAAATATGCTTGGACATTTCAGCATTGAATTTTAGATTTTTAATCCTAAATATTTGTTGCCTCAAATTTTCTACATAAAGTACTGGTTTAGTTTAGTTTTTATTTTTCTTTCCAGTTAGAGTTATAAGTTATATTCTTATAATGGTATCCTTTCTGTCATGCAAAATGTTAGGTGCCAGTAGCACATTAAGAGCATCTATTATGATGCGGCCCACCATAGCCAACAGATTTGTGCAAGGCAATGCAGTCAAGTTTATGTCATCGGGTGAGTTCTGTGTTGAATCCAAGTGATTACCTGCATATGATTGAAAACAACTGATTATCTTCATAAAAATACTGGTTCAGAAATGTATAGTAGTAGTTTAAGAATGAATATATATACAAGATGAGTTGAATATACAAGACAATTCCAATCAATTGTTAATGTGCTTTCTTGCACATATTTCTAGAAATTTTCAGATAAGAAAATGCATTTAATTCTAAAGTACAATTCGGCATAAATTAGTTGGCACAGAGAAATGCTTCCCCATAAGAAAGAGAGATCTCCATAGATTTGCTGCTTCATTCATTATTACCCATTACCAGTAGTTTGAACAAATTTATAGAAGCTTTTAAATTGATCTGTGTTTAATGCATGTTTATATATATCAATCTAATGCATTCACTGGTCACTAATTGAACATGTATAAACAAAATAAATTCTGCCATCTAACACTACTGTAGTTTAATTTTATTGCATCTTCAGCACCCAAGCGGATAAACAAATAAATTCTGCCATCTGACACAAGTTTAATACTTGTTGCATGCATGTTCAGCACCCAAGCGGGAATACCTGCTGTTGGACTACAGAGGCGCCAACAACTGTGTGGCCGTGATCACCCTCAATCGCCCCAAGGTTCTCAATGCTCTCAGCGACCCGCTCATGCAGGAGTTGAACTGCACCATTGCTGAGGCAGAGGCTCAGCCCAATGTTGCTGCCATTGTCATCACTGGCAGCGAAAAGGCATTTGCTGCTGGTATGGATATTATGCCTTATCTTTAATTCCTGGTGTAGAAGAATGTAATTGCTTGCGATACTAGTCTAACACATGATCTTCAATGCTTCGAAATGTCTACTTATTTCTGTTGCACAGAGCAGGCAATTTTTTTCGATAAAACCACTGGTTTTATAAAGTTAACTTAGACACAAAAATAACAATCATAGTATGATATTGTTTATTCTGAAAATTACACTTTTTAATTGATTTAATTTAATTTGACTTAAGCATCAAAGTTATTCATGTTTTGCAGGCATGCGAATATTTATCTTGACATAGAAGGCTCATATAATCGGTATTTTTATTGATATGATTTTAACAAATGGATTGTTTGAACTCGTCAACCGAGCAATAAAGACACCAATACAAGTGTCTCCCTACTACCGCCGACAGGAGCTGACGTCAAACAGATGCAAGCAAAAACAAAAAACTTCGTTCAGGTTTATAAGGACAACTTCCTGAGCGGGTGGGACAGGGTGAGCTTTAGCCCGCGCGTTGTCATTGCTGCCGTCAACGGCTACGCTCTTGGTGGCGGCTGTGAGCTTGCAATGATGGCTGACATCATCCTGGCTGGAGAGAAAGCTAAGTGCGTAGCAATCAAACTCAATTTTAGTACATACTGCAACTACACAATTGTAGGTTAATTTACTCCTAAAGCATGTCGAATCAAGACTAATTACGTTTAGCTAGCAGTTATGAATAGCATTGACAAAAATATATAATTTCTCGAAGATTCGGGCAACTGGAAATCAACATAGGCACAATTCCTGGAGCTGGCGGCACACAGCGTCTGGTTCGAGCAATCGGCAAGAGCCGTGCCATGCAGTTGTGTCTCACGGGCGAGATGATCAATGCTAAACAGGCCTGTGACTGGGGTAAGTCTTGTCATTCCTAACATTAATCCCTTAATCCTAATCATGATTATGATTAACATTCAACTCTAAAGGTTAACATTATTTCTGCAACACACTGCATTCATTTTAGTACAGTTTTCTTTTTCAGATTTGCGGGAGCCTCTGAAGACTAGTCCAATGCGGCCCCACGACAGAGTTTTGAGTTATAGTTGCCAGAGTACCTTTTTCATTGGCACTTTATGGGCTTCACAGTTTAATTCAGTCTCTTAATCAGTTCAGTTTCTTAATCACATTAATCTTAAGTATCTTAATCACAACCCTGCCTAACTCCAGCTCCCTGCCTAACTCAAACTCTCGCTAGCACCTGTTGAAAAGAACACGCCACGGCGGAGCCGTGGAACACGGAGACATGAGTGATCCCAGCTGCCTTGCTGGCGCAGGGTTTGGTCCTCCTGAAATTAGTGGAAGCACAGAAGATGGTGGTAAGGAAAATATAATGATAAGTGATTGTCTGGATGATGAGGTTGTTGCTTCTGATGGTTTAGTGGAAGAATCCGAAACTGACTGTGGATATGAGAGTGGGTTCATTCAAAACAACCAGGGCATAAATGTGGCTTATTTTTGTATTGAAGGCAGACTGTTTTCACTCTTCTTGCTTTTGCAGCTGCAACTGAGCAGCCTTCATTTTTCGACAGCACCTCGTAACACCCTCTACATCTTTTTCTTACATTCCGACATTGACTCTCCAACTCAAGTTACTCAACAAGGTAATGAGAGTTTCTCTTCCCACACATAACAGCTGGTTCTTGTCCTGCGTTCATTTTATTCGAGTTTCCTGTTATGAGTGAGTGAGCAACACCCACCTCAGACGTCCATAGGATCTTTGCCGTGTGGTGAACGTCGCCGCGTCAAACTTCCATCGCCGTTAGTCCGAGCGGTAGACGTCCAAAACTAGTGCCGAAAGTAGCAACGTAGCAGGCCCCCGCTATCCCGCCGCCAGTCACTCCATCGAACTCCCTATCTCTTCATAGGGACTGGCCAAGATGTTTAGTGGCAAAGGAGTCGATCATGAAAATCGAAGGTGACTGCATGGAGGCACTTGTTGACCTCACCATCTGTTGCTAGAGACTGATTGTTTAGACGCAGACGTAATTTCGTGACGTTGTGGCCGGGTAGATGGTTCTTTAATTGCAGCAATTTAGAAATGAACAGTTAAAGTGGTAGCAGGGTTGCCGCGATTAATACATTTCACACAACAACATTAATTGAAATTTATGAATCCGGCTCCAAATTCCCAACTGTATATTAATCAATGAATTTGATTTTTAACTATACGGTGTTAACTTCAACTTTCAAGTTAAGGAAAATAGGATGTTAAATTGTAATCAATCGGACTACCTGAATATTTAGTTCTTAAAAATAAAGGCACATTTTCAACAACCAAAGTTGTCAACAGAAAACGTTTGTTACAAGGAAATGAATGCATCATATTACCATTAACGAAGGTTCATGTGAAAAATACTAGACGAGAGATTTTCGCCAGCCAAACAGTAGCACAATTGCACCCTTGTAGNCTCTTGTAGCTGACACCGTAGCTCCAGTTTTAGCGTACATTTTTAACCTATGCATATCCACTGGAGTGTATCCTGATTCATTGAAACGTGCTCGTGTTATACCCATTTTTAAATCTGGTGACCCTTCTAAAGTCTGTAATTATCGTCCAATATCAACCTTGCCTTTTCTTAATAAGATTTTAGAAAAAAACTTCTCCATTCCAGACTCACTAATTATCTCAATAAATTTTCAATGATATCAGATAATCAGTTTGGTTTTCGTAGAGGTACTAATACGACAATGGCTATATTTTATCTCGTTAAAGATCTCCTTAGGACGTATCATCCCAGAGATTGCCGCGTTACTCTATTTAGCGCATTTTCTCATTTATGGTAAAAACGCACTCTTGTGCTCGCCATGTCCGTCTGTCCGTCCGTGACTTCACGTTTGCGTCGACGAGAAAATGCGCTCTATGTCACTCACTGCAGTGAGTACTGAGATTTTTAGACCTACAAAAGGCTTTGGAGTTTTTATTTTTTTAGACCTAAAAAAGGCTTTGGAATGTGTAAATCACCAAATTCTTTTGAATAAGCTCTACCGGTATGGTATTAGAGGGTCTTTTCTTTTACTTATCCAGTCTTACCTAGCGAACAGAGAGCAGTTAGTTGCATTGAACGAGTTCAAATCCCCCATAGGACCCATCAATATAGATATAGCGCAGGGCTCTGTACTTGGGCCTTTATTCTTTAATATTTTTATCAATGATTTCGCCTCGTCTTTTAACGTTATCTGCAAGCTTTTTGCCGACGATGCCGTTTTCTATGTCTCGAGAAGTTCTTACGATGAAGAGTGTGATTATATTTCGGAGCTATCAGTGAATTTTTCTAGACGGCTCTTAAAAATCAGGTTTGTCGGGGTACGCAGCCGTGCACCACTAAATTTGTGCACCAATCAGCCTTGAAAGGAACGCCTAGCATATTTCCGGATAACCATCAATCAGCCATGGATTAAGCCATCCGTCGGTAACCAGCCCGTGACATCATCTAGCTTTAAATATTAGGAGCTTTACGCCACCGTATTCTGAAGCGAATAGCCCAGAGAGTAATGGTTGTCCACCACCGAATGTTGCATCGAATCATCACTTCATACCCTGGATTTAGCTCGAACTGTAACTTGCTGACAACGGACTGCGACCAACCAGCCCAGGTCGCCAGTGGAACTGCATTCATCCTGCCGTGCACCACCAGACCGTCTCTTTTAGCTCACAACATCCGGGGTTAGGTTCAGAAAGCATAGTTCTGTTCCAAAATCTATCGTCCTTCGACGAGCGACTTCCACAGCTGCGCTAAATTAAGTAACTTTTAGCTCACAGCATCTGAGGTTAGGTTTCAGATAGCATAGTTCTGTTCCAAAATGTATCGTCGTACGACGCGTGGCCGTTCGACCGTAGGCTGATTCGACACACGGGATAGATACGGACGGCTCCGACGCGCTCCGTCCGGGTGGTGTAAAAATTTTTCGCGTGTTGGCAGACGACGCTGGGCCATACATTATTTGTGGGCTGATTGATCTAATTCAATGGATGTGATCTGTCTGGTGGCGTGCGGCTGATAATGTTACAGTCATGAAGTGTTGTAGGCTACGTTCTTCAGGGAAGGGATCATGATAGTCCATTCGAAGCACGGCAGTGGTGGTCACCGACAAGCGTCCCGTTTGTGGCTCACACAGATAAGACCAAGTTGATGCTTTTTACTCCCAGATCTGTTTCCTTTCTACGCGACATCACTTTTAATGGGACAGTTTTAGAATGGGTCAATGATTTTAAATATCTTGGCTTAATAATCGACAATAAAATTTCCTTCAATAAACACATCAACTACGTCTGTCAGGGGCGGAGTAAAGCCCATGGAGTTTTGCGTGCTCTATCAAGTGTTTTACCTATTCCATCATTAAGAACGCTTTTCTACTCAATGTCCTCATCTAAACTGTCAAACACGTTACTAATCTGGGGTGAGGTACCTTGTAATTCAAAGAAACGGGTCATCACCTTAATTAATAAATCATTGCGTACAATATTTCGGGTTAGGTGTGACGAAAACAATATTCCATTGACTCGTACTAAATGAATTATTCTTATACATAATACTATATGCATTATGTAAGCAGTCAAAAATTTTAAAACTTTACGATATGTACAAATTTCAGTTTTTTAAATTAATGAATAGGGCACTTTTCCGTGATGAACGTCTTTTTAATTCTGCATTCGCCTCTCTTGTTCCTCAACATTCCCATAACACCAGGGGGCATGTGTCTAATTTAACCCCGGTTCGGTTAGAAATTGAAAGAAACGGTACTGCTTTTAATTGTGCAAAATATTTTCATGAATTGCCTGATGATTTTAAAATAGATTGTTCTAAATTCATTTTAAAGACTAAATTCCGCGATTTTGTTCTTACCAGTATTCATTTGACTTCGATTATCATGTAAGATTTTAGTAATTGCCTTTCTTAATAAAATATTTGATAAATGTTAATGTGTAAGTCAACATTGTTTTGACTTTTCGCCTTAGTTGTATATCTGTCTTTTAAGTAGGGTTGTTATTGCCTTTGTTATATTTATTTTTTTGTCGCCAAGCTGCTTATTCTCCATGCAGTTTTATCAAAGGGTAGTTTATCAGGATGTTTATACTTTAGTCACTTTCTGTTCCCAGTGACTTATCTCATTATCATTATATGTTATTGTTCTATTGAGAGTAATATCGCCTATGTCGCCTGTAAAGCTTTTTAGCTTATATGGGCATTCACAAGGAAGCAATTTGTATGTTGTTTTTCTTCAAATTTTCGATAGTCTCTTGCTATGTATTTTTTTGTGTGCTCCTCTGTGAATAAAGAATATTACAGTCTTCATTAGATAAAAATCACACCCGTTACCATCTTCAGGAGTGAGGTAGTCAGAGGCGCCTCTATGGGCGCGCTCCAGCAGTAGCTGGCCGATGACGTCACGAGGGTTGTTGGGTTCAAGGGTCGCCATGTGATCGTCAATAACTTCCTATAACAAAAGTTAAATCACACGAGTCGATCTTATAGGGAATAAGAGCCACCACTACTTCCTGATTGCGAAGCCCCAACTACTAGGCCCAGCTCACAAAAGAGACCAGAGGCATCCGATCCCAAAGACTCTCCTCACCGGCTTAGAAACATGGATCAGCCTTGCAC